TCACAGTTTGCCTTGAAGTGTCACAGGAAAAGGGAAGACACTTAGAAATTCATCTCCTGCCGTGCCTTTTGGCCTGAGCTGTGCTCAGTTCTGTGGGCCCTGGGACAGTGTCCCTGGGAGGCTGTGGGGAGGGATGGCACCCATGCTAGTGCAACAGCTGCTCTTCCAAGGTGAACTTTCCCACCTTCAATTGCTAACACAGAGTGAACTGAGATTTGTTGTGGTCACTAGGAGTTTGGGGTTGGGTTTAGTGCCTCAAACCTGAAGGCATGTAAAGCAAGGGCTTCCTCCCTCCATGCCTTGGGGGGGGAAAAAGACACCCAGCCCTCACTACCAGCCCCTGGCACCCTGGGTGCGTCCCCTGGGAGGATATTTGTCACAGGCAACTTCTGAAAGGGAGATAAATGAATCTGTCTGGTGAGTCCTGGCAGGAAGGAGGAAAGGGCAAAGGAGGGAAGGCAGACAGGGTTATCCATGCTCCATAGCAAGGGGAGGAAGATGCCAGATGGAGTCCAGAGGTGGAGGTAGAAGTAGGGGGAGGGGGGCTCACCTCGGAAAAAGGGTGGCATGCAGACAGGGTGACCTGGAGGAAAGACGAAGCAAGCGAGGACAGAGCAGTCAGGCCCACCGGTCTCCGTCTTCCCTCTGTGTATGTGCCACCCTGGGTGTATACCATTGGACTTTGGTTCTCCAAGGGGACCTGGGAGGCCCCAGCCACTCTGAAGGGACTGAGGTGAAGTGTAGGGGAGCTCTGCCACTGGCTGCGGGGAGCCGACGACAGGGACTGTTGGATGTACCTGGCCCTGGGATGGATGGAGCAGTGAGCATTGCTGCTCGGAGCTGCCACAGGAGGAGATTCGGAGCTCGTGTCTACTAAGTGACAGCCATTTTCTGGTCCAAGGTTGGCTTTTATAATGCTCTGGAAGTCACTGGTGTAGGCAGTCTGCTTGGAGATTTGTGTGACCCGTGGAAGCACTGGGTGGCATCAGCCTTGACATTTGGGATCACTGGAGGGTTCCCACAGTAGGAACACTGAGCAGAGGACAGTGTTGCTGTTGCTCCTAGTGGTTTGAGGCTCATCAGGGTTCCATCAGTGACATCTGGGCAGGCTCCCAAGATTCTTGGTTGCTTGGTATTCACCTTGTTATTGCAAGCCTGTGCCTGCCTTGTCATCAGAGATGCTGTACAGAGAGGGCAGGTGACACATGAAGGCTGGGGAAGGAGGTGACAGTCCGCTCACGCTGCCCTAATGCCAAAATCCCCCAGACAGTTGCAAGTGGGGAAGGACTTGCCTGTGGGATGCCCCAGGGCTGCTCTGCACATCCCTGAGCGGGTCTTTGCTGCTGGTGGCATGGGCTCATTGGGGCATCATGCTTTTTCCCTGGAAGGAACCCACAAAACTGGCGCCACTATCCAGTTTCTGGCAATTACCTTTCTGGAGTGGTGGCATTTGGAAACCGATATTTAAAGGTTTCAATTCCTTGCAGGAGATGCCCTTGGAAGAAGTCTTGCTTGCTTGGTTCACATGGATTTGTTTGTCTTTTTGTAATAAAGTGCTGTAAAATTCTTTGTAAATTGTAAAACAATTGGTAAAAAAACCAAATGCAGACACTCCACAAGGACCAGAAATACCATTTGTTTCCAGCCCAGAGAAAGTTTTAGTTAAAACTGTATGTGTTTTGCTGAGTGGGAAATAAGCACTAAACCTTGAAGCGTTGTCTTACTAGGAGTGACAGATGCTTTAACTCCCGTATGAGCATCAACACATGCTGGACGCCCAGGCAGCCAGGGGTAGATCTCGTACTAATGTTCTGTTCATTGGAGACCGTCACTCTTCTTTTCTCTGTCACAACTGTTTAGACTGTAAAGCTTTCACAAGCTTTATGTGTCTGCATCAAACTAGTAAGATTTCCCAGATGGAGCCTCCCTCCCAGAAAAGCGTTTCCATGGATTTTCTGTGTGTCTTTTCTCAACTTGCCCTTGAGCTAGCAGCTCTTTTTCTTTCCTTCTTTTTATTGCAGTGTTTGGCAGTCCATGGTGGGTGCCTGGCAACTTTGCAAGCGTGGGGCAGGCGGCCAGCGAGGCTGTGGGTCCCCGAGTGGGAGAGGCCGAGCTGCTGGGGGCCGAGCTGTCGCTTCAGGCCACCGTCCATGGGAGGACTGACTTTCTGCTCCGTTCGGAACAACCTGTTCACATGTTTAAGAATGAACAGGCTGAGATCCCTTTCAAACTTCAGGCGGTTAATTTTGGTTTAATGTCTTCCCAAGTGCAATTACGCTCTAACAAACAAGTCTCCAGGGTCAGTCGTGGGCTGTGTCAAATCACTGATTTTTCCTTCCCATCCATTTCAACGTAACGAAGTGTTCTCTTAAGACACAGAGTACCTCGACATATGCTGTCTTTTTATCATCCATTCTTTGTGCTTTTCTTTTACATCCCCCCCATTTTCTCTCTTAAAAATTATCATCATCATCATCTCTTTGCCTGGCAAAGTCCATTTTCCCTTATATTTTACAGCCTGCATGGAAACTACTTCTGAAATATTTCTTTTAAAGAACAATAGCCCGGCTGCACCTCAACATAAAGTTCCTGGGAATAAATAAGATGGCGCTTATTTTTTTATTTACAACATCCATCCCTCCTTACACAATCCCATACCGACTGCTACAGACAGCAGTGCCAGGCGTGGTTAATTCTGAGGAAACTCCCCAAACTCCATGTAGTTCCTAAGCATTAGTTCTGGAGGCAACAGAGCATTAACAAAAAGGCACTGCGAGCTCAGAAATGTGGTTTGCTGCATGTGTTATTCTACTATGCATGCAAAAGGGATGTTTATAACAGAGATACAGATGACTTTTTCCCAGAAAACCAGACCATTTCCATGGAGCCTGCTGCTGGGAGCAGAAGCCTTCTGCTGCGGCGACTGATGCTGAGCAGGAGCAGCCCAAGCCCGAAGCTCTCCGCAGCAGCACAGCCACCCTGCGGGCAGCTTGTGGGCAGTGAGACGGGGTCCCAGCCATGAGGGACCTGCACAGGGCCCTGCCCAGGACACCCAGCACCCTTAGGGAGCAGAGGGGTGCCAGGGCTCTCCACAGGAAGGAGCATACCCCAGAAAAGCTGGAGGGGTTCAGCTCAGCATCCCACTAGAGCATTTCCCTGCCTCCTCCCGCTCACCTTGTGCTCGTGGTACTTACGGGATTGCTTTTGTGGAAATTTCTGCTGGGGAAGTCTTTACCTTGCAGTGCAATTTAGTAGCTAGCAATAAAGGAAGAGCCTTTACCAGCAGACCACAGGCTTGCTGAAGAGGCTCCACGGCCACGTATCAATGTGACAAAGCTTCCCCCCACTCCCTGGTTCTACATCCATTTACAAAGACTACTGTTAAAAATAACTTGTTCAAACAAACACAAAATACCAGCTGTTCTCTTATTCTAATATAACATTTTAATGACAGCCCCCCC